GGAGCAATGAGAGGCATGCCTCCGGAGGTAGCAAGGACAAGGAGTCAGGTACTTCAGTGGTTGCCTCATAGCTCTGCTGAGGGCTTGTTTTCGAGCATACCTTTTCCCTCCCGAGATTCCCAGGAGGCACAGGGTAAACAGCTCGAGAGATCCTTGTGTCCCCGGTGGCACCAACACCCACTGACTCTGGGTCACATTCCTTCCCAGACCTCACAGGCCTCAGGTTGCAAAGGCCTTGTTGCACAATCCTTAGAGGAATGGGTATGACCGGGGCTGGGTTGGGCTGAAGGGGTGTGCCCCATGTGTGTCAGGGATCTGTGTGGCCAGGTGCCAAGGCACCCAGGTGGTGGCAGCAAGACTCACAATTTAATGCCTCAGGATCTTTGGGGAGGTACCTTTCTTTCTTTTATCCCCTCCTGAGGCTTTTAAAGTAACATTGTCAAGCTGCATGTTTTGGGGTGATTTTAGGGGAAACATTCCAAAAGTTTACTAGGTATACCTGCATGTCATTTTTCCAGAGAAAGCTGGGACTTCAAAACCCCATTGCAGAAGCTGAATCTAAACTCCCTTTCTTCCTGTTTTCCACAATCAGCTTCCGGCTATAGTGTGTGCACATTTCTCAATATATCACACAGCTTTTGAAATTAATATGGAAGCGGAAAGAGAGACCACAGCTCTGCTCAAAGCCTGTGTCACAATGGCCTGGTTTTCCCTGAAGGAACGCTCACACTTCTCTTTACCACAGACAAGTCTGCATGGAACGCTGGGAATAAATAGAAGAGCCATGTAGGGGTCAGATGTTTTAATTGACTATACATCAGTATGACTCTATAAGACCATCTTCATTTGCCAATAGCAACAAAAATATTCATCACCTGCTTCCAATGATGGAGCAAACTGACAACCATGACAATTAAGATGCATTTATCTAACAGATTATTTGTTTCACTTCACTTTCTTCCAGAATTTAGATCTTTGGATAGATATTAATATATTTGCAAGGAATTCAGTTAGAAATGTGGAGTACCTGTGTCCACAGAGTGCCAGGGCATAAACCTACACACTATTGGAGATGTAAGACATGCAGTGCTATAGAAAAACCCTGGGCAAGGTTGAGAAAGCACCTGACTTAACAAGGTAATTCCAAATAAAATCTGAAACCATAGGGAAAAGTTCCCGAAGCCCCACTTAGCAAATATATTGGGTAATAAGGGTAGGTCACTTACCACTTTTGTGTGAAATAACCTTGGCTGCTGTACAAAGTGTCTACCCATACACATGCAGGCTACACATATACACTCATAAACGAACAAGGTCTGCCTACTAACGAATTCTCCACAGGTGCCTGCCCTGAGAGAGTTCTACCAAGGTCCAGAACAGAAGCTACAAGTGGCTGGGATTCTAATCTGAGGGATATCAAATGAACCCAGACACTGAGTTCTTTAGTCCATTCACTTTATTCTTCTCAACTTTATCGACACAGCTTCTTTTCTGTTCTCATACTTAGCTCCTCAGTCCCTTCTGCTGTTCTCTCATCATTCTACCTAGTTCTTTCCATCTTTCTTCCCCTCTTGCACATTATGTGTATACACACACACACACACACACACACACACACACACACACACATATATCCATTTGTTAACAACTTGTTAGTAAAAACTACAAAGTAAACGCTCAGGCACAAGTATTCTGATAAGACTCACATTTAGCAAAGACTTGGTCAGCTTAACTGGTGACTGACAACAGCTGTAGGTTGTAAAAAGTTCTGGCTATCTCTTAAAGGGATAGCTACAAGGGTTTTGAGAGAAGAAATTAAACCAATGAGAGATTTAAGGAAAAGGCAAAGAATATGTGTACTATTTTATGTGATTAATAATATCCAGACATGGTTAGTCAGTTAACAGCCTTTTTCTGTTAATCACCCAAATCTCAGGACCTATACGTAATTAGTCTACTGAGACTAAAATCTTGCATTAAAAAATGGTATAGAAATAAATACAAACTGTTAACTGTTTTTTGAATCAGAGTAGGGAGGTGCTACTGGAAGAAACTTAGGGCAACATGGTGCTATTAATCTCTTGAAGGATTCAGATATACCAAGGCCACACACCTTCACTATCACTTCTGGTTCACTATAATTCTCCTGAAAGGTTTTGATCCAAGAAGGCCAGGCACCTGCAATTCCACTCTGTGAAAGTTCTATGAGGACACTTTGACCAATTTTGCCTCGTAAGTGGCTAAGGATGGAGAACAAGACCTCTAAGTGTCTACAGTCCACATGGAACAATAGACCTAGTATGAAGCATATTTTAGTATGTTTCTATTCATATAAATTGTACAGTTAAATAAGAGACCATCTTCTAGATTATCCACAATTATGTGTGCCCATAAAACTGAGAAGCAATCATGAGATTGCAGGTACATATAACATGGAAATGCACAGTAAATGGGGAGATATCATAGCTGTTATTGCATAAGAAGTTTATAACAAGAAACAGCCAATTCATCCAAAAGGCAGTAATTCCATAATGCCTTGCGTGATGGTTTCCTCTAACAGAACCCTTGGTTCTGATAGGTTGACCTTCTGAGCACTAGCTGTCACCTGCTGTATACTCCCATGGTCCTTTGCTAACATCAGCTCTCAATAGCCTACAGTGTAAAAGGCAAGACCACAGGAAGATGATAATTGTTACAAAGTAAATTGTATAAATGCTTATTAGAGTGTATACATGCAGTGTGTCCTGTGTTCATGTTTGTGTAGTGTGTGTGTGTGTGTGTGTGTGTGTGTGTGTGTGTGTGAACATGCAGAGGCCAGAAGTCAGAGCTGAGTCTATCCTGCTCCACGTGGTCATCATCATCATCATCATCATCATCATCATCGAGGCAGCTTGTCTTGAGGAACCTAAAGATCACTGATTAGGCAAGACTAGCTAGCCAGTAAGCACCAGCATCCTCCTACCTCCACATCCTAGGTCTGTGCTTGCAGGCATGTACCAACATGCCCAATTTTTCACATGCATACTGGGGATCCGAACTCTGGTCATCTCATGTTTGCATAGTAAGCATGTTAAGAATGAGCCATTTCCCCATCCTATTTTTTGTTCGTTTGTTTTCTTTGTAATGGGCTATATCCAGTCAGGCTTCAAGACAAGGTAGCTTGCTAACTTCCCTCTGTTTTCATTATTATCTCAACCTTTTGGGTGGGTTTGGGGTCTTTTTGTGACTGTGATTATGGGTCTATTAGTCTGGTGCTGGTGCAAAGGCTAGGAGGAGAACATTGTTACCTCTAGGGAGCATCTGCATTCCCCAATAACCTGTGGGGGAAATGAGATGTTCTCATTTTTAGAATATTCTAACTTGGAAGTGCCAAGAGTTAGTTCAATATCAACTAAGTCAATATGAGTCAAGGACAGAGTGTACTGGACCAGTCACCTCCTTGACAAGACTTGGTTCCCAGCCAACACACAATCTCTGTGCTGATTTCCTCAGGAGATGGAGCTGCTGGGATGATCTCCTAGTCCCCTACAACTCTAAAATCCCATGCCACGTGACAAACACAACGTTCATGAAACATTACTGTCAATAAAATGTAAATGCAGATGAATTAGGAAATCATGTTTTTTGTCTTTTAGTTTAGGTAAAGCCTAAGCCTAATTTTTAACTATCTATAAAATGAAATTAGTCTAAAAAAATGGCCAAAGACAATTTTCAGAGTCTTAAGAAATTGGACCACATTTTAATCATGGAAAATCATAGCAGCTTTCCAAATGGAAGCTGAATGTGTGCTATACAGTTAGCATGTAAGCACATTCTGCTTTGACCTGGGTCCCTCTGGGTTTAACATGCTGTGGGGTACTGCAGCTTTCCTAGAGCAGGTCACTGGTCTTACTGCTGTGATGTATTTATTCAAGACGTGGCGGGGCCTGAAGACTGTTAAAACTGTGCCCTGGTCTCTTTCTTGTCCATTGCGCCTGGTGTGCCCTGTGGGTAACCGATCTCCCTCGAAGCCCTGGGTTACTGCTGTCATTGATGGAACATCATAACAAACAGACCTTGCAGACTATGCTCAGAAAAGCCTGCCTGAGTAGTCAGAGGCTCTGACTGGGGGTTGCTGTGTGTTAAGACCCAATGGAGTCCAAATAGAGATGAGTGAGGGCCTGGCACCAGCACTGAGCTCTGCCCTGCTGTTCAACAAAACAGCTCTTTGCTGTCACTTGGAATCTCTCTGGGCCTCCAGGAAGAAACAAATACTTCAGAAGCCAAAACCCCAAGGCAAGGTAAAGAAAACAGAACCATTCACATGTCCAGCAACTATTTCACTGGAGGATCCCTAGATGGGGCCGGAGTGGGTGGGGATAACTGTGGATGGCTCCAGCTGAACTGTAGGACTTGACTTCTCAGCCAGAAGGCCTTTCTCTTTCTCTGTCCCTAGGGGTGGCCTTTTGCTTTTGAAACCTTGGAATTTCAAAACTAGACTTTGGAGTTAATCTCCATCATTAACCCATAAATACACCTTTCTTCACCTTATATGAATTTTTATTGTATTTTAAAACTATATCTATTAAAATGATTCTTTCACTTAAACGTTTAGAATACTTACTCTTCTCTGTCATTCTGGGAGAAGCCATTAAAAAGAAAAACACCCATGCAGAATATTATCATCAAAGGAGTTATTTTCTTTAGATAGTTGCTGTGAACTGACCACTGGAGATCCCTGTGCCTTCTGAATTTTCCCAGTGACTGGGGAGAGGCCAGTGGGGGGTCCGAGAACTTTGGAAATGCCTGGTGTTGTGGTAAATGACTATAGAGAGGATGTACTCCAGCTCTGCTTCTGCTGGGAGCCCCTCTGGATTCCTACCACTCTTTAGGAATGGTAGGTACCTTAGCTGCTGCCTCTGTGCCATGCTGTTCTTCCTGGAGACATGTCCACCTATGGGTGTCTCCTTTTTCTCTAGACACTAGCAAGTTCTACCCTTAGCTGAACAAAAGTCGTGTACCTGCGCTGGAGTCATGGCTGGCTGGTCCTTCTGGCTCCTCCTGGTATGTTCTACCTCTGCTCTGTCAATAACTCAACTTCTGTTGCTTTCCTTCTCCGATGCTAAGATCCAGTCTGTGTTGGGTATTGTGATGTCACAGGGTAGAACTTTTGCTCCCCCACCCCCGCCGCACTGCCCAGCTGCAACCTCTCTGTCCACATCAATGACCATCTCCCACTTTCCCTTTGCTTCAGCCCTCAGAACCTTTCTAGAAATCTCAAGGAAGAGACCTGGAAGGCCACCCAGCTCCCCTGCTCTGTACATAACAACACCGAGGCCCTGGATGGTGACGTGTCTAAGCTAACTAGAGCCCAGAGGCCCTCGGTGCTGACTGCTAGCCCTTTTGAACACATTACATTTCCACCCTGCTCCCCTCTCCAGAGTTGGCCAACACCAGGGGGTTGTGACAGGAGGCTCAAAGGACGACCTGCCTCTGTCCAGGGCCAGAAGCCACCCAGACACAGTACATGCAGGAATGCAGCAGTCTCAGTGGACACCACTTGTATTTCTGACAACCCATAGATGCCAGGAAGTGCTTGTCTTAACCCGGACTCAGAAATCCTGACCCACCAGACCAATTCTAGAAAAGCAAGTCATGTGACTTCCGAGTAATTGATGTTTTCACGGATTTGCTGATGAATAACAAAGTAGAAGCTACTAATCATATTCACTGCAATGACATACCAGTTGCTAGTATTCACTGGAAAAAAGTATCAGTAAAGCAACAGATTCTCACTACAACACAGTTCTTATGTCCACCTCCTTTTTGTAGATAGACATTACCCCTATGATGGTAAGGGATTCTCTTCACTGCATGAGATGACTTGTGCTTCTGAAGTCATAAAATTGTTCTTTCTGAGTACCTTGGGGTGTAGGAACATATATCACACTGTTGTAATACCAACAACTAACATTTTATATCATGCTTCAATATTTACAAGCCATTTCACATATATCATTTCATTTAATCACATCTCAGTGAGGTAGTATATTATTTTTAGTACAATTTTATGGATGGGAAAATTATAGCTTAAAGTGGTTAGGACTTGCACAAGATCACAAAGCTAATTAAGTAGAAAGGTTAACATTAACTGTGAACCAGAACTTCCAGTCAAGCATTTTCCCCATCATAGGGCTTCCCCTGGCTCAGAACTGTCATTTGGTCCCAGAAAATATTTAAAGGCACCTGCATTTGGTGACCCTTCGGGTAATGAAGAAGAAATCATTCCCATGGGTTATAAATGCCTTTTTACTAACCTCTTAAATGCCTTCATAAAACTGCTTGATGGACACTAATTTCAAACTTTAATCTGATATAATTACTGCCCTTTCACTCAGCTCCACATCTGTGAATGCTCCAAAGGAATCCATTATGGACGTGAACAATATTCAGACGGAAGAGTTCTTTGCAGCACTGTTTGTAACAGGAGAGAAATTCAAAGCTCAGCCATAGGAAAGTGGTAAAAATGAATTATGCTAAACTCCTGAGAATGGTGGCTTTGAACAGTGTTTCCTCAACGTTGGCCATTTGTTTGCCAGGAACACTAAGTTTACTTGACATTTTCCTTTCAATTAACTCATATTTTAGCAAGAAAACAGTGATTGAAAGTACCTTACATAACAGGTAGAACTATAGCATCAATGATCATGTCTGATGATGGTAAAAAAAAATAAAGATGAGACAAAGACAAGGCAATGTTTGTTATTAGTGCCTTAGTTTTGTCCTGATATCTAACCGAAAATACACAACTGACCTATTCAAATAACAATATCTCTCATCTCCATCAAAAATTGATCTTTCTATACTAAAATACAGAACAACTTTTCATCACTCTATAAAAGGTTCAATACAGAAATGAAGTATGTCTCTAATTCCATATCACAGCTAGATCTGTTTATATACACCGTGCACTAAATCAACAATCCCCAAGACTTGTTTTAATGATAACCTTACTTGGATAATGTGTACTCCTAGCAGTATGTACAAGGATCAGGGCTCCCTCTCCCAAAGCAGTTCTTTCCAGCTGTTACCTCTAGGGAAAAACATGATCCTTAATTGTGTCTCACCTTGACTGAGCACCTAGAAAATTATATTCTACGGTGTGCGGATCTCACTGTTTCTCTTTAGCATGTGTCTCTGTAATGCATCTCAAATGTTACCTGTCTTGGAGGTGGGCTGGGCCTCACCTGGGGCGTATGTAGCCCTAAGCCCTTGATAGAGGGACAGTGAAGCTCTCACATTCTCATCAGCCAACTTTTTTCAAAAAGAGTAAGTGAGGAATGATAGCAAAGGGTTTTGCTCAACTTGAAGGCAGATTTTGTGGGAAAAATACCAATTTTGCCAAACTTAAATGCTAGTTCAAGCAAGAATTTCTCACGTTGGTCTACAGACAACCAAGATGAGAACCACCTACTTTGTGTGTGTGTGTGTGTGTGTGTGTGTGTGTGTGTGTTACATATAAATAAAGAACTAGCGCCATTGAGGATTTGGGGACGTTGGAACAAATCCCTTGCAGAGGTGAAGGATAACTGTGTATACCCATAAAGCCCTCCAGGAGATTCTGATCACACAATGCTTAAGAACTAGCCAGAAGTTCCTAAGAATTTGAGCAAAATTTCAAGTGAACTGAAACACTTACAACAGGCTATCATTGGTCCTGCTTTTGGAGGAAGGCGATCCGAAGCAGGATTTCTTCTTTTTTCTCTTCTTGCTTTGTTTTTCAAGATAGAGTCTCGCTACGTAATTCTGGCTGTCTTGGAGCTTGCTATATAGACCAGAATAGCCTCAAACTCACAGAAATCTGTCTGCCTCTGCCTTCTCAGCACTAGGATTAAAGGCCTAAACAGCAGGAAGCAATTCTAAGAAAATGACGCCCCTTCTCCCTAAGGTTTTATATTTCTCAGCGTTATGGATGATGGTTATAGGGTTGGGGGTGGAAGAAAATATTAAACTCAGTATTCTCCTTAAGAAAAGAAAAAGTGTCTCAAAAAAAGAGAAAAGAAGAAATGGAATGGATAGGCATAAGATATTATGGTAGATTATTGTATATACTAGTAAACAAATTTAGTAAAATAGCAGCCTTAGATAATTTGCACTGTTATGGATTCTTATATGTTGATACAAATGTAAACTATTTTTATATTCCTGTTTAAGATAATTTGTATATTGATACAAATACAGAACTATAATTGTTATAATGTACACATATTTTTACTCTTATTTGAAATATTTGTATATTGATTCAAATGTAAATTTATATCTTAGTAAAGTCATACTGTATGTATGTTCTACTTCTGTTTAGGATATTCTGTATATTGATATTTATTTAAGATTATTGTCATATTGCATATCACACTATACATTCCTACCTCTGTTATAAATATCTTGTGTATTTTCACAATTTTGAAGTCATCGTCCTTTACCGTACATTTGCTTATAGACTGTTTACCTTGTTTACATGAAGCCTTAGTCCTTAGGTTATTTAGGTAGATAAGACTTATAGATTTATAGTCACCTATGCTTGTCATCTCTATAGTTATGCTAGTTAGGTTATCCAGATTTACAGATACATAGGTTGGATGGACAGGTAATCTTCAAACACTTCATAGACCTAGAGAATATGGCATTTAAATAACTTAGAATTCTGTTGAC